ATCCAGGGAGCACAGGCTCCGTTTGGACCGCGAGCGACCGCAACCACCCAGGGAAAGAGCCACGCAGGCCAGGCTGTCCCGCCGCCACCCCGAGGGGCAGGGGGCAGCGAGGGGCTTGCGGGAAACCTCGGGGTCCCCAGGCCCCGACTCATGTCCCCTCCCGCCCCCCCAACACCTCTGAGCCCTGCCGTGTCCGGAACAGGCCGGTGCACTCTCTCTGGGGGCCCGGACCGAGACCTGCCTCTGAGAAGCTCACTGAGGTCACGCGTGTCGACTGAGCTGTTATCTTGCCACGGGCCCAGCCGCTCGGAGGATCCGTGTGCCTCCCGTGTGCGTCTGTCCTGTAGGGCCTCTCGGACGGGGCTGCTCTGCCGGCCCGGCTCCCAACCCCGAGGACAGGGAGGCCTCCGGGCGTTCACACGTGACTCGCAGCGGCCGTGGCCTGGGCCCAGGCCCTCAGCGCCCCGAATCCCAGCCCCCCGGGCCCGGAGGCAGAGCCCTGGCCAAGGGAAAGTCACGGGTCTGCCCAGACGCGGGGCGAGAATCCCAGGATTCGGAAAAACATCCGTCCCCTGCGAGCTCAGAACCCGGCCCTGACTCAGACGGGCAGGGGTGGCTCAGGGCCCGCAGAGGGCACGTCCCGGCCCCGCCCACCCCAGGCCTCCAGAGGGACGGGGTGCCCTTGGGTTTGCTCTCCGCCTCTGGGAAATGCCCACTCGCTGTGGGAGGGGGCCTGGGGGACTGGCCAGCACATTTGCCAAAGACCCTACTGGCCGCAATCGAGAGGGAGGGTGGGAGGACGGGCCGTCCTGCTGCGGCGACCGGAGTGACCGCTGGCCAGTGCGCTGGGGCCTCGGTGGGAGAGCGGGAGCCGCTGCGTGTGGTCACACCGGCGCCCGCGGAGGATGGCTCATTTCCTGGGGGCAGACGGAGTAACGCCCTGTCCCCGTCCGGCACTTGGTCCATTTCTGTGCTTCCGGGTAGAATTACATGCCAATCACTTCAGAGGCATTTAGAAACGATTTTCTCCCGGATGCTTGAACCCAGCCCCCATGCCCTCCAGGCTGGGCGGAGGGTCCGGGCTCCCCGGGTGGGCCCCGCTGTGCTGGGGTCCTGGGGGGGCGGGAGGGTTCCATGCTTCTGCCTACGCTCCCCAGAGAAGGGCGCCGAGTTTAGACATCTCCACCCGCCAACCACAGCCCGTCGTCCTCCCAGATGCCTGCAGCCGGCTCCCATGCTGCCCCCTGGGAGAACGGTCCCTGCCCCTCGATGACAGAGGACCCCTAACTGCTGGCCTGTAACTCGTCACCTCCGGGGGCACTGGGGGCTTTGGGGGCCCAGCAGAGACAGTTGGGCACCTTCCCAGTGGGCCTGCGTCTGCTTCGCGAGCAGGTGGGCTGCCCTCAGGCCGGAGGGCCGGTGACCTGGAAAGGGGACCGTGCAGGCACAGTGCAGACCCACTCGGGCACCCCGCTGAGGCCACGCCCCTGGACTGCACGAGGAGCGGGGTGCGGCTGAGCAGCCCGGAGATGTCACAAGGAATGCATGACATCAGTGCTGGCTCGGTGCCCAGAGTCCGAGGCAGGGTCCGGCCCCATCCACCCCACCTGCCCCTGCAGCCCCACTTCCCACCCAGCCCCCGCCACCCCAGGTGCCCTCAGTGGGCGGGGGGGAGCGGGGGACTTCCCCGAGCACTCGCAGCCTCCCCTGGCCTCCACGCCGGGCCCCACTCAGTCAGTGGTGGAGCAGGCCTCCAAGTCCACTCCTTTTAGGGAAATGAAGGAAAAGGGGCTGTTACTTAGTAATTAAAAACAGCCCTGTGCTGGGGGGAGCCGAGGGTTTCTCAGGTCCCTGCTGCGGCCGTGAGAGGCCACACTCCCCCCTCAGGGCCCTCAACCTCCCGTCCCCAGGAACTGACCTCTGTCCCCAGCTCTGGGGCAGGGCCATGCCTGTCCAGGGCGAGGGCAAGACTTGGCCGGTGGGACCCAGGTCAGGGTCAGGAATGCCTGGAACGGGAACTGCTCAGAGCAGAGGTGCTTGGGGTGGAGGGTGGGGTGGGGCAGGGAGGGCGACTGGGTGCAGCCCCAGCCCCGGGACATGCTGCCCATGAGCCTGGTACTTAGGGGCCTGCCAGGCCTGCCCAGTGCTGTCAGGATTCCAGCACGCATGTGAGCGCTGTCCCCTGGATGCCTGTCTCCATGGAGACCAGCTCTCCCATCTCTGTTTCCTGCCCATGTGCTCCCCCAACCCCGACCATGGAGCTGGAGGGAACGGTCCACACCCCGTGCCCGCCCCATCCCCCCAGGACCCTGGCACGACCCCGACCCCAGCCCGGCGCCCTCCGCCCTCCGCCCTGTGGGCCCAGCGGGACCTCACGCCACAGGCCTTGGTCACATGCCCACAGCCTCGGGCTCGGCCCTTCCCGCTCACGTGCTGCTGAATCATGTGAAAAAAATGCACCGGCCCTGGGAGGGTTTGCCGAGAACAGAGCGGCTTTGTGGGGGCTGCTGCTCCCACTCTCTCCGCCAAGCCCAGCCCAGCCCAGCCCAGCTCGGCCCTGCAAACCCCAAGCCTGCAGCCAGGGCAGGGGGAGCCGCGGCAGGGAGGGGCCTGGACAGGCGCTAAGGGACGGCTCTCCCCTCTCTTGCCCTCCCCACCCACAGGCTAGGAAGGGGCCCAGAGAGGCAGGGCGGACGGCTTGGAGGGAAGGGGCAGCAGACCACGGCCTGCCCACGCTGCCACAGGTGGCAGGGTGCTGCCGCGCCTGGCGGCCTCTCCCACTCGCTGGAAGGACTCTCAGAGGTCGGAGAGGACCCCCAGGCCCCCAGCTTTGAACATCTTATTTTCCCTTTATTTGCATTTCGGAGGCCCTGATGTTATCGCACAGTATGGCTGTGCACCTGGCTGGCGGGGGGAGGGGACAGGGACGAGGACCCGCAGAGCAGCACACGGGATTCGGGGTCACATCCAAACCCGACGCCGCCCTCTGTGGGACGGCTGGGAGGGCAGGTGCCTTGTCCTTCTGCCAGGGACCGTGTGGGTGGGACTGCCGGGCAGAGATGAGTCAGCCTGCAGCCTGTCTCGCTGCCCGCTCCCCACACCTACTTTTAGCTCAGAAGGGGCGCTCTCACCTACAATGCAGGGACCACAAATACGACCTTTGAAATTGGAAACAAAAATAACCCACTCCCAGGCAGGCTCGTCCAGTCACCAGCCTGCGGCTTCCCGGCCGCGTCAGGAGACCTCGCGACTCAATGTTTGGGTCCCTGTGGCCTCGGCTTTAAACCCGGTGACCCAACAGCACCCTGAGCCCGAGGCCATCCCCCGGGCAGACAGGAGCCGCAGGTGGGGATCCCACAGCACCCTGGGTCTGAGGGGATACCCCGGGGCAGACAGGAGCCGCAGGTGGGGATCCCACAGCACCCTGGGCCTGAGGGGATACCCCGGGGCAGACAGGAGCCACAGGTGGGGATCCCACAGCACCCTGGGCCTGAGGGGATACCCCGGGCAGACAGGAGCCGCAGGTGGGGATCCCACAGCACCCTGGGCCTGAGGGGATACCCCGGGGCAGACAGGAGCCGCAGGTGGTCTTGTAACACAGGAGGCTGAGCATCAGCCCAGAGCCAGCACCCTGCCCCACAGGCCACCCCCTAGCAGCCCTCCTGGCCACAGGCTGGGCCACGCTGCAGCCTGCCCCACGCCATTCCGGGAGCCCACACTTTCTCCACGACAAGTGCAAAGGCCTCGGATGGACAGTGGCGTCCGCAGGCTGGAACGTGAGCTGGTGGGAGGAGCCTCACTCGAGCTACTGGTGCACAAGGGGGCAAGTCCGGGGGCTCGGGCTCCTCGGGGACACCCCCTGGTCAGTCACCGGACCTGCCGGGGCCTCCCACCACGGCCACCGGTCACCGCACGTGTCCTCGCCACCTTGTCCCCTCCACTGGGACCCCAGGGCTGGGACCCCAGCATGTGCACTCACTGTGCGTCCCAGAGACGGGGCAGTGCCCGCCCCTCCGTTTAATAAGGAAAAACAGGGTAAGATCCAGGCAGCATTTTCCAGGGGAAATAGAAAAAAAAAAAAAAAAGGTGAAAATGGAAGAAAAGGAACACCGGGACCTTTCCCGCCCCTCTGACCCAGCGACCTCTGACCCAGCGTGGCGTTCAGACCTCCCCAAAGCGCTTCCGGACCCCCAGCCCCGTACCCACGTGCATTAGGGGTGCAGCTCTCCTTGGGGGAAGGACATACACAGAGGAGACGCTGAGACTGGGAAGCAGGCTCAGGGCGTCACGTGGTGACAGGAGGCTGCAGCCAGTGGGGGGGACACCCACGTGTGACCTGGATGACATGACTGCCCCGAGTCCCAGGCACACGACATCACATCCTTTTTATGAAGTTCAAACACAAGTAAAACTCCACCGCTCCACGCTCCGTGTGTGCGCGTCCACGCCCACATGGTGGGGTGAGGGCAGCCCCGCCGGGGGCACAGGCCTGCACCCAGGGGGCAGCAGCCGGAAGAGGAAGTCACAGGCAGAAGCCACTTTGCAGCCAACAGCCCAAGTCTCGTGCAAGGGAGCGTGCACAGGGGTGTGCCCGGGCGTGTGCCCGGGAGCGTGCACAGGGGTGTGCCCGGGAGCGTGCACAGGGGTGTGCCCGGGAGTGTGCCCGGGAGTGTGCACAGGGGTGTGCACGGTTTTGTCTGCAGAGTCTACAGGAGAGGAGGAGGCCGCTCTAGACCCACGATGGGAGCGTGTCCTGGGTGAGGATGCACAATCCAGGGGGTGTGTCTGAGGGCCTCGGAAGGGGGGTGGGGGGCGGGCACCATCTCCTGATAGGCTAGTCCAGGGTCAGGTGACTATGGCTCCGGCCAAATCCAGCCCCACCTATTTTTGTAAACAAGGTCTCACTGGAACTCTGCCAGGCCCACTCACTGGTCTATGCCGAGACTACGTGGGGGCTACGTGGGGGCTACGCGGGGGGGGGGGGCGCTGTCCTCGCAGGGCTGTGGAGCCAGAGCGCCTAAACTAGCTTCTATCGCTCTTCGCAGAAAATGTTTGCCCCTCTGTCCCGGTCCCTGAGGATGCAACTGGCAGACGAAACCCGACCCAGTGTGGGGTTTCCACGCGGCTGAGTGGGGGGGGGGGGGGGGGGGACTGACAGACACCCAGGTTCCCACCAGAGGCAGCCCAGAGGGTCACCCACTAGGCTTAGTGGCTGGGCGCCACTTCCCTCTGTCTCTCTCCTCCTCTTCCTCTCCTTCCTCCTTTGGTCTCTCCCCCTGCTCTTCCCTTTCTCACTCCCTTCCTGTCTTCCTCCAACTTAATATTCGCTACAGGAATGTCACTACGAGCCCTAGCAGGGGTGGCCCAGTGGATAGAGCATCAGCCCCTGGAATGAAGGGTCCTGGGGTCCATTCCGGTCAAGAGCCCACCCCTCAGTTGCAGGCTCCAGCCCCAGCCCTGGCCGGGCGCGTGCGGGAGGCAACCAATCGATGTGTCTCTCTCAGACCGATGTTTCCCTCTCCCCCCTCCCTTCCACTCTCTCTAAAAATCAATAAAAAAATGCCCCCGGGTGAGGAGTCACAACAAAAAAGAACGTTACTGAGTGACATCCTGGCGGATGATGCGGGTCCCGTTGGTGTGAAGGACTGAGGGAGGTTCAGGTGACATCTCCGTGCAGGCGATGCCTTTCTGCCGCTGCCTGCCTGACCGTGGGGGCCCCGCGAGTCCAGCGTTTATGGGTCTGAAGACCTCTGAGCGCTGACTTGACCTGAACCCCTCCTCTGAGCTGGTGGCTCGGGGACACGCCTCTGCGCGCTGGGCCGAACCGGACCCGGACCCGCCCCCACCGGGCCCTGCTTCCTCGCTGAGGGGCCCTCCCGGGTGGGACTGGGGCTGAGTGACGGGCCGGCGACGCAGACACAGGTCCGTCTCACCCCTCGGTCCGTCCGGGCCCACACCCGGAGGTCAGTGCTGTATTGACCGGGTGGTGCTAACACTGAAACTCCTGCAGGCGCCTCCTGGCTTGCTCGAGGAACTGCTTGTGCGACTTGCTTTGCTCCAAAATTTGCTCTTCAAGGTCACGGATCATCTGACTGTGCGTGGTGTCATTGTCGTCCTCCTCCTCGCTGCTGGCGGCCGGCGGGGATGCGGCCGGCGGGGCGGGGGTGCTGCGCTCACACTTCCCGGCCTCCTCCAGGTCCGGAGAGCGGGGCCCCGGGACGTGAGCCGGGACGTGAGCCGGGGCGTGAGCCGGGACGTGAGCCGGGGCGTGAGCCGGGACGTGAGCCGGGGCGTGAGCCGGGGCGTGAGCCGGGGCGTGAGCCGGGACGTGAGCCGGGACGTGAGCCGGGACGTGAGCCGGGGCGTGAGCTGGGTGAGCGCTCATCTGTGGCCCTGTCTCCGGCTCCGTCTCCGTCTCCGTCATCTCCTCTCCTGGCTCCATCGGGGGCCGGCCCAGGGCTTCCCAGCTCAGCTGCGGGAGTTCGAGCACCTCCACCAGCTGTGGTCGCCATCTCTGCTCCCGGCTCTGCTTGGGCCAGGCCGGCTCCGAGCGGGCTCTGCCCACCTGTGCCGGCGGGCGAAGCTGCGACAGGAGCATGTCGGGGCGGGGCGGCTCCTGCCTGGGCCTGAGGCCGCACCAGAGCGGGCTCTCCTCCTCGGGGTGCGATGCCAGGTACCCCTCGTCCGACAGCAGGGGCTCGACCAGCCTCCGGTACTGCCGGTCCTTGAGCTGGCACAGGAGCTCCTTCAGGTTGGTGCTGGGCACCGCGGGGCGGGCGTCCGCCTGGGCTGGACCCGGGGCCAGCTCCATGAGCAGGTCGCCCGCCCGCCTCTCCCAGCAGGGCTCCCCCTGGCACCCGCACGGCTCAGGGAAGCCCAGCTCCTCGCTGGGGCACATGTCCGCCCCCGGCCTGGCCTCCAGGTACGTCTTCAGCTTCCGGTTGGTACTGAACAGCTCTCTGAACACGGACTCCAGCTCCCTCTTCCACTTGCTCCCCTCCCGGCGTTGGGGTGGGGACACCGGGGGCGAGGCTCCCCTTCCGCAGGGCACATCGACCGGCCACGGCAGTTCCGGATTGTCCTCCTGGCCCAGACCGTCGTTCATTGGGCCCGGAGCCAGGCGAGCCATCCTCGCCGGCGACCTCCTCCTGCCCGGGGCGCCGTCCCTCTCCTGGTCGCCCAGGAGCACGACCCCGCCCGCAGAAGCCCAGAGCGTCCCCATGTCCAGGTCTCCTCGCACCCGAGGGTTGGGACGGCGGCCACCGCCCGTCTTCCTCGAAGACCTCCGCTTCCCCTTACTCTTCTCGGGGGGACCCGGGGCAGGACGGGGCAGGCCCCCGGCCTTGCCGGCCCCCTTCTTCTCCGCGCCCACCACGGTCCTCTGGGACTTCAGCGGATAGGGCCGCAGTCGGACCAGGTCTTCCTGCCAGCGCTTCTCTCCTCTGACGGCCGCTCTCTGCTTCTCCCGGGCCCTCGGCCGCCCGGTGGCTCCCCGCCGGGCCGGGCCCTGCAGGTCAGGCTGAGGCTCTACAGACCACCCGCCTCCCGCACCCAGCAGATGGGCGACGTGCAGCCGGTCCAGGTCGCGGGCGCGCGGGTGGGGGGCCTCTGGCCAGCCCGACCTCAGCTCCTCGGCCCAGTGCTGAGGCTGCGGGCTCCTCCACGGCCCCGGGTCCAGCCTCCTCTGCACGGCCAGGTGGCCTTTCTCTGGGACCTGCAGCAACTTGTGTTTCTGCTTCGGAAGCAAGGCCTGGTCGCCGGGATGGGGACTCTGGTAAGCGGCTCTCTCTGCCCCCTGCTTCGCGTGGGAGATCTTGGAGGCCATGGTGTCGGAGAGATGCTGGTGGGAGCGGGTGGCCGAGGAGCCACAGATGCCACGGCTGTTCCACGTCAGGCCCGCGAGGGCAGGAGGGTGCTCGCCACTGCCCGGAGAGCGAGCACGGCCCTGGGGACAAGGCACACGGGCTCGGAATGAGGGGACAGGCTCTGACAAGTCCCTGCCACTCTCTCCCTCCACACACCTGCCCCCCCGCCTGCTCTCGGTCTCCCCCTTGCTGTCCTGCGCACCTGAAGGGCACTTCTCCACGGGGAACACGGGCAGGGTCTGGAGACATTTTTGGCGCAGCGGAGGCAGCTGCTGGGCAGCTCATGGGAGAGGCCGGGGATGCTGCTGAGCCTCCCGCAGGCCCAGGGCGGCCCCAGGCACTGGGCTCACGACCAAGAGTGATCCCAGGGTCCACAGCGCCAAGGGCGAGGGCCCTGTCCCACACTGACCTGTGAGGACTCCGGGGGCATGGGGGGTGGGGTGGGCGGTGCAAAGGGCGGGCCCTCGGGAGGGAGAGCTACTCATAAATGGAAGGAGGGCCCTGCCCGCGCGGCTCAGTGGTTGAGCGTTGACCTATGAACCAGGAGGTCGTGGTTCAGTTCCTGGTCAGGGGCGCATGTCCGGGTTGTGGGCTCCATCTCCAACTGGGGTCATGCAGGAGGCAGCTGATCCATGACGCTCTCTCATCATTGATGTTTCTCTCTCTCTCTCTCCTTTCCTCTCTGAAATCAATAAAGATTCTTTAAAACAAATAAATAAAGGAGAATGGAGTGGAGGAGGAGGAGCCTGCTACTCAGGGTGTATGTGTGTGCAGGGAGTTGGAGAGACCTGTGCAGGTGTGGGGGGGGGAGGCGTGTGCGGGGGGAGAGGCATGTGTGTGCACGTGTGCGTGCAGGTGAGTCTGTGTGTGTGCACATTTGGTACTAGAATCCGATGCAAACCAATCAGAGAGGAGACTAGACCGGAGTTACTTCTGTTGTCATGACTCCCAACTCTTTCCTTGTGGAATTCTCGAGGACCACCCTCGGGCAGCAAGAAGGGACATGGGCTCAGGCCCGCCCGAGGGAGGGGGTGCGTTCACCCGAGAGCATGGCATCACGTGTGTCGGCCCCTGCCGCTGAGGTCAGCCAGCCTGCGGGCTAAGGAGGGGCTCCCTGGACGGCTGCCGACTGCAGGGGGCGCCCCTCAGCTGCCCTGCCGGCCCTCACTTGGTCTGTGTGGAGCGGGCTGAGCCGTGGAGCAGAACCCGGGAGGCCCACAGGGGCCCCAGGGACCCTGGCTCAACCACGGAGCTGCCGTGGTGACTGTGCAGCTGCTCCCGGCACTCTTTTATGGTAACCTCTGAGGTGAGGCGCTGCTATCACCCTGGGTTCACAGGTGGGGAAACTGAGGCAGGGAGCGATGAAGAACCTGGACCTGGATCACACAGCTGGCAGGTGGCACCGACAGGCCCTCTGCCGCTTGGGTCAGTCCGTGACTGTCACCCGCCTCGGCTGGTCTCCTGCCGCCAGCTTTCGGGCAATCTGACCGTTTGGAATGGTGGGTCGTGTCTGACTCTACCAGGCTTCCTGCCACCATGACGAGAGCGGGGAGGGACAGGAAGCGGGCTCACCAAACACAGCGACTCAGATTTCGACAAAGGTGCCAAGGCAACTGAATGGGGGGCCGCAGGGGATCATCGTTCCCCCCCAAAATGCTGCTGGGACCGCTGGCCATCCGCGTGTGAAAACGATGATTCCAGACGCTTACGTCACCAGGGGCAGAATCACACCCCTTCCACAACAGTAACCCCAAAGTGGATCAGAGACCTTCCACGAGGTCTAAAACCGCAGACGCTCAGCAGGGAACAGCAGTGCCCCTTCACGGCCCCTCAGGCCCAGACTTCTCAGGCACAGCACCGACGGCGCCAGGGACACGGGAAACCGACCAACTGGGCACCCACTGATGTTACAAACCCTCGCGTTTCAAAAGACACCCCTGACCAGCGAAAAGACGAGGCACAGACTGGAAGGAAACAGCACAAATCACACGCCCAACAGAAGACCTGCGTCCGGGAGACACACACCACTACCCTCCATCAGAACACCGGCAGCCCATTCGGAACCAGCCAGACATCGAAACAGACCTTCGGCAGAGAAGACATGTGCGCGGCTGACAAGCCAGGCAAGAATGTTCAAGGTCAACAGGCACGAGGGAAGGACTACCGGGAGCTACAATGAGAGGTGACCGCAGGCACTGGTACGGCTTCTATGAAAACCACAGCTGAGCCCGGCCAGCGTGGCTCAGTGGTTGAGCGTCCACCTACGAACCAGAAGGTCACAGTTCGATTCCCAGTCAAGGGCACGTGCCTGAGTTTTGGGCTCGATCCCCTGTAGGGGCCGTGCAGGAGGCAGCCGATCAGTGATTCTCTCTCATCATTGATGCTTCTACCTCTCTCTCCCTCTCCCTTCCTCTCTGAAATCAATAAAAATATATTATTTAAAAAAACACACACAAAATAAACAGCCCCTAAGTGCTGGTGAGGATGAAGGTTGCCAGAAGCCGGTCCATCCTTGCTGCTTGACACAGTCGCTGCAGGGAAGAAACATCTGCACAGCATATGTTCCAAGGGACCTGGCGTATATGGCATACTGTTCTTAATATGTTTGCTCCCCTTCTTAGCACTATGTGTTCTGACCGGGGCCACCTCCCTGAGAAAGGTTGTTTCCCCAGGTGGGGATGTTTCCCTGGAGTTAGGGATTAACGGGACTAAGGGAGGGAATAAATCAGTAAAACCCCCTAGTGTTACAGAAATGCCGTGTACTACTTATGAGGAACTTAGACTAAGACTGTTGGCAATAAATTTGGGACTTGCTAGGCCCACACCCCCAGGGGTCTCTACCCACCAGAGAAAGTGCCAAAGCCTATTATACCCCTAAAAACTCGCCGATGCAGGGCAGTCCCAAGGAAGACCACCAGCAAGGCTAAAAGATCATAACTTTTACTTGGGCCATAGAATAGGAAAATCTCCCTCAGTTACTTCCTTATAGCTTAACGGTAGAGCAGTAGATTAATGACTTTGGAATAGAGATAACAAACTAGCCCTTATAACGGAACACAGAGACTAACCTTTAGAATAGAATGTAGAAACATAGATGATAGATAAGATTAAAATCAACAGAGCTAGAGATAAGATTTTTAGCAAAGGTCAGATAAGAAACTATAAACATAAAACAAGGAACTATAGAAGGTCAAAGGAGGACCCCAAACATACCATGATGTAACTGTAGAGGCATGCTTATAGAAGCGAGTAGTATAAATACAGCTGTAACAGGACAATAAAAAAGAACCTCCCTATGCTGATCATCTGAACGCTGTCTCCGTGTCCTTCATTCTTCGCCGACGCCGTCCACACCTTTGGGAACCCCTGGACCGCTGGGGCTGGACCCCGGCAGAAGGTCAGAGCTGGGAGCCAGGATTTGTCCTCCCGACCTCGGACCTCTCGTGACTGACAGGAGCTATGAGAGGGGCCCTGGTGCATGTACCTGTGTGCGTGCAACAGACCACCCTCCCCTTCGAGTGTTTTGCCTGCACCTGGAAGGCAAGATCCAGCAGTGTTTCCCGAACCTCCCGGAGAGCCGGCTCTGGCTCTGGCACCCGTTGTCCTGGGTGAAGCCGCTGGTCCCAGGACCACACTTAGAGCGAAGCCGTGGACATGGTCTCTACTCTGCACCCGTGTCTGGATCTGTGCCTCACCGGCTCCTTTCCCAGCCGCTGAGCCCCTCCAAGAACCTCTCAATCGGGCCCCCCCACACACCCACGCCTGACCCCGCCACAGCAACGGCCCCCGTTCAGCTACGTGACGTCAGCACCGACACCATCAAGTCTCCAACAGCATCTGCAGGCCACCTGCACCAGTATCACCTGAGCGGCTAGTTGAAATGCAGATCCCAGGGCCCACCCCAGGCCAACCCTATCCCAGCCTCCGCGGGAGGCGCCCGGGAACGCGCTCAGTTAACCATCTCCCACGCGTGGGCCATCCCTGCCTGCGGGCTTGGGGACGTCCAGCAGGTCACGGTTCCACACCCCTTCCCAGCGGGCGGGCTGCCAGGCGCCTTGCCGGTCACATGCCCACAGTCAGGAACTACGTCCATCTGTACGGAGCAGAACTGCACTCACCAGTTCCTCTTCCTCAAACGGACACCCCCTCCCATCCCCACATGCCCAGCCCAGGTCCTGCTCCTCCTTCCACCGCATCCCCCGGCCTCACCAGCAACAGGGAAGCTGCTCTGGCCGGCGGCCCACACGCTCAGCGCCGGGGTGACACGGGTCGGCGTCTTTTTCCTTTGAAACACATAAAAATAGCTCGAAAAAGGCTCCCAGCAGCCCGGGTGGCCAGAGAGAGCACACTTGGTATAATTAAAGCTGCTTTCCCAGCAAGCTTCGTCCCTCTGCCTCTGGGAGCACAGAGGACACAGCGGATGGGAACTTTGGGGAACTCTGGGCTATCTTTAGGATTGTAACGTGGGGAACAGCTAAAGGCTTCTACGATGTATTGGTGGGGGAGGCAGGTCCATATGGAATAGTCTCTCTCAGCCACGTGACCCCGGGATATAATTTGGGTTTTTTAAGTCGACTTTTGCCAGCTTCCTGTGTCCTCCCTGGGGTGGCTTTCCGTCGGCCTGACGGCTCCCACCCGCCCTGACCGGCACCCACACGAAGCACCTTGTTAAAACCATGAGTGAGGGCCCGGCCGGTGTGGCTCCGTGGTTGAGCGTCAACCCATGAACCAGGAGGTCATGGTTCAATTCCTGGTCTGGGCACATGCCGGGGTGGGCGGGCTCCATGCCCAGTCGAGGGCGTGCAGGAGGCAGCCGATCAGTGATTCTCTCACCACTGATGTTTCTCTCCTTCCCTCCCTTCCTCTCTCTGAAATTAATTTCTTTTTCAAAGCTTTAAAAACAACAACTGTAAGAGTGGATCGTCTGGGGCACTGATGGCTCTTCCAGCCCAGTCCGTGAGCGTGGAACCGGATCTCATCAGTCCCGGAGGCGGCGCCCACAGCACACATTTCCCGGGGGCTGGGAACCAGCCCACGCGGTGCTGGGAAGCGAGCCTCCGGCTCAGGTTTCTAACAGGCCGCACACCTGCCGGGTCGCACGAGACAAAGGCAATGGGACACACCTACACTCACAGGGGGACCCAGAGCCAACGGGCCTTGCCGGTGCAAAGGGGGTGGAGGCCTGCGGAAGCAAGGAGGCCCGAGGGCTGGAACTGCTGAGCCGGGAGTCGGCGGTGACCACCAAGAGGCAGTGTGGTCTCTACCCGCGCTGACAGAGATGCCTAGAACAGGTCGGTAACGGCCTAGTGCAGCCCAGTCTGCACTGTTCAGACTTCACCGGATGGTCCAGGCCCCACGGGGAGAGGGGCCCGTGGAGGAGGTGTGCCAACACCCGAGGATCCCCCCGCCCCCGCATCCCACCCCCCAGGAGAGAGCACGGCCCGGGAAGCCCTTAGCACAATGCCTGGCCCACCAGGCGGCTCAGTCAATGTCAAGCACCGCCGAGACGGGAAGGAAAAGGCCAGACCCGCCCGCCAGGGGCTGTCAGCCGGCGTGCACCTAGCGAACTTTAAACAGGCAAGAGGTGCCGGTAGCTGGCACCACCCAACCATACAACGTCACGGGGGGAAGTTTCAAGATCAGAATATACCTCCTGGGATGCTTAGGAATTGACCTGATTAGAAATATACACGAGAACTTCGACGTTACTACACGAGGAAAACAACCCGATTACGGAGAGCTGTGTCTTCCCAGACAGGAGTCAGAAAAGGCAGAGGTGAGGCCGGGAGGAGGGGCTGCAGCCTCGGTGTCCAGGGTGAGAATGAAAAAGCAAACAAAAAAGCTGTCATAGGAAGATAAGCCCTAAGGAACCAAGAATGTTTTAGGAGGGGCTTGCGGGTGATAGAAAAGTCTAGAATGGCATACCGGGATGGTGAAGAGTATCAACTAACTGTGTGACCCAGGGTAAGTTTCTTAACTCTGGGTGCCTCAGTTTGCTCATCTGTAAATTGGGAATAATAGTAGCAACATCCGTCTATACAGATGCCAGCACTCGTACCCACATGCCTGGCGAGCTATCTGAGGAGGCGGGGGTACTTACTGTGCGTGCCTCCAGATGACTGAGTGAGACCACCGAGAGCACATCAGCGAGGCAGGAACTGGCTGGATGGAAAGAAGCGCTTTCTCTGGGGCTGTGCTGAAATCATTGGGCTGCGATGGTAGGTAGTGAGACACCCATCACTGGAGGCATCCAAGCCAAGCCCAGATAAAACAAACACCAGAAACATTTAAAACCTTTTCTCGGAATTCTAGCCTCTAAAAAGATGCTCTGTGACACCCAGCGTGCTGCCCAGAGCCTCCGCTTTTGGCCACTTTCCGGCTCTCAGCTAAGTTCTGGGGTGGCGGGCGGTCCCTCAAGCTGGCTGGGTGCTGACGGGCTGTAGGAGAGTCACCTGGGCGGGGGTGGGCACGCCAGAACAGGGTCACCTCGCCAGGCCCTCAGCAGGGTCCCCACCGCATCCCCGGTGGGGCTTGGGCTAACCGTCTCCTGACCACAGACAGGGCTCTGGGACAGTCCTCGGGGGCCGAGGTGGCCGGGCAGCCAGCCTCGGGGGACGAGCCCGGGTCACCTCGGCCCCTTATCCCCGGACCAGCTTCACAGACACACACACGAGGCACAGGGTCCCCACACTCCGGGAGACACGGGGCTACCAGGCGGGCCGCTGACGGCCGAGCCAACTGGCGGCTTCCTACCTGTCTCCTTCTGTCAATCATCAGTGTCCCTCGGACCTTACAGACCCCAGGCCTCCCGCCTGGGTCATGGGTCCCCACTAGCGACAGCTGCCGTGCCTCAGCCTTCACTCTTCCACTCAGCCACACGCATCCCCAACCCCGCCCCTCCATCCTTCCCGAGCGAGGTGCGTGCGGAGAGCCCCCGGGTGCAGGGACTTGCAAGTCCGCCGCCTCTGAACAGGAGGCCCGGAGGCCCTGACCGGCCACATCCCAGGGGCCTGTCAGGAGCCTCACCGAACAGCTGGGCACAGAGAGAACCCGTCCCCGCAGCAGCTCAGGGCTGGACACCACGGGAACCTCACCCTGGGCTGTTCTGCCTGGGGTCCCGGGCCACGGACCCAGGCTGGCTGGAATGGCAGCTCCCACCTCCTCTGGCAGCCCTCGTCTGCCCAGCTGGTGAACTGGGGCGGGCCGCTGCCATAGCAACGGCAGAGCTGCTGTGCTGTGACATCAGAGCAGTGAAGTCAGGGACAGGGACGAGCCAGCCAGAGGGCCAGCCCTCAGGACACCTGTGGCGGGTCCACCGTCCTAAGGATTTGGCTCAAACAGCTGAGCAGCGGGACGGCCAACGCCGGGCACCATCGAGGCCCCGGGCACGAGGGCCTGGCAGCCAGACAGCCCGCCCGCCCTCCCCGGAGACGGCGCTCCTCTGAGCTGTCGCATTTCAAGGTCACAGCTCGCCACTCCTTTTCCCGCAGAGGGAGCATCTGTTCCCACTCGGGTCAGGGACAGGTGAGCCAGCGGGGGGCGGAGGACAGGGGAAGCCTGGCCCAGGCCCTGTGGTGCGCCCCGCCCCCCACAAAAGAAGGACCACACCTGACCTTGTGTCTCGGGCAAGGGGCACCGTCCATCAAGCTAACTGTTAAGAAACGTAACTGGGGAGCAGCCTGTGGCCCCCAAGAAGGCAGAGCAAACCCATCTCAAGGCCTGTTTCCTGAGGAGTCCACGCAGGAACTGGGCTGTGGTGTGGGCATGGAGGGCGTGGCGTCTCCGGGGAGCTGACCCTGGGACAGAGCCTTCGTCTGGGGCCAGAAGGGGCCGTGGCCAGTCACGTGGCCCCTGACCCCTCATAGAGCAGAAGGCATTCCCCTCAACCTGTCCACCCCACCAGTGTCTGGGTCCCTCTTCTTGGCCTGAGAGACACCAAGTGTGTGCCTGCTCCTTGCCCGGAGAATGCCCGGTCCCTCTGCCTCCAGCACGGTCTGGTGTGGCCACCCTCCAGCAAGGGACACGTTCTGGGGAAGGACACTGTGGCAGTCACAACCTATAGCCCCCTGGGCCCCGGCGGCCTCTGGGCCCTCCCTCCTCTCCAGGTGACTCCTGGCGGATGGCAGTGTCCGGCCACTTCCGCCTTCTGCCCTCAGTTAATTCTCAGCGGGGAGAGGGCTTCTCCCGGGGCCTCCGACGGGCTCAGCCGAGTCTGGGAAGGTGGCCGGGCCTGGCGAGGCTGCCAGGAGAGCTCAGCCACGGTGCCCTCAGGCTCTGGAGCCCAGAAAATGTGGGCAGAGTTGCTGCACCTTTGGGGTCCCTGCGGAGAAGGGATCATTTCCCCCCGGGGCTCCCTGCTCTGGAAAGCAGGGAGCAGGTAAGCAGGGGCGAGGCGAGCTGCCCAGGAAGCTGATGCTTGGGGGGTCGTCCTTGGGACTCAGCCCAGGGCAAGTTTTCCTAAAGGACCAGAGAGCAATGATTCGTCTCTGGGGCTCGGGGGCTCTGAGGCTCAGGAGGCCCTGGGGGTCCGTGCTGTGTCTGAACTCTGCAGCGGGAGCTGAGCGGCAGCTGTGACTGCGCCACGAGTGAGCTCGCCTCCCAGCAGGAGCTTGTTTACAACTGGCGCGATTGGCGGTCTGCCAAGCCCCGAGGGCCGGCCAAGGTCAGGAGGCCGCGGGCCATCACGTGCCTGTGCTGGTGAGGAACTGGGAAGGACAGCGCCGCCGAGGCCCAGGCAGAAACCCACCTCCTGAGCCTCGTCTCCGACATGCCCCGAGGCCCGTCCTCCGCGTGTTGCAGTATCAGCAGCCGTGCCGGCTGCGCCGCTGGGACCGCACCCAGAACCACGGAACTGGACACGGAAACGGGGGCCCGCACGGCGGGTGCGACCCCCCAACGGAGCTGGTTAAAGCCTGGCCGGTCTCTCACCCCGAACAAAGCCCCCACCGCTCTCCTTCCCACCCGAGGCCTTAACTCGCTCACAGCTCAAGCGCATCTCAGAGGGTTCGGCAAGCGCAGAGCAGCAGCAGGAAACCACCGCCGCCGGCTCCCCGCCGCCTGGACCGTCGAGGGACACGCTCCCCACCCCCCTGTCCACACTGAAATGCGCGCACGAAGCAGCCCAGGGAATCGTCACCAGACAAACCAGGAAAGGGTCATCTCTGAGGGGGTGGGGGAGGGCTGCTGGGCCCAGGAGACAGGTGCGGGGAGTGGCAGCGCGCTGTCCTGGCCTGGCTGCGCTGCTAACTTCCGCCGACAGCGTGCACTCAGTCCGGGGGGAGAGACACGACGTCAAACGCGGGAAACCTCAGCCTGAGCCGATACCTCGGACATGTTCCTCGGTCACAAGCACAGGCCTACCACGCTGGCGAGACGACGGCTTGTGTTCTGCTGTCAGGCTAGAGCCCCACTTACTTAGCTCATCGCCAAGGGACGGGACACCTCACACACCAGGCCAGCGCGCAGGAACTTCCCTGCCCCAGACTCTGCACCCTTCACCCACCCGCTCCCCAGGCCCCCGCCCACCCCTAGCCCCAGCCACAACGTGGACCAGGCTCCTCTCTCTGTTAACCCCCTCTCCCTTTAAAACAGTCCTCTTACTCTATCTGCTCACAGCGTGACCCCGAGCAAGTTACTCACTACCTGGGCCTCAGTCTGATCGTCTGTAAAATGGGGGTAAGAACGGAGAATTAACCGAGTTAACGCCAGGAATGTGCGGGATGCGGTTCTAAGCACTTGGCACTGAACCATGACAGCTGTGGTCGCTGTCCTTACTGCCAGCGTCGTTTTCCCTTCACAGAACATCACATCTCCTCTCTTCACCGCCCCCCCGCCCCCTGCCCCCCTTCACCCCAGCTGCTTCTCGGCCTCCCTCTTGGAGGCACCAGGACTCGGCTTGTGGCTCTCCCAGCTCCCCTACTGTGTGCTAACCATGCCGGCCCCCAGGGCTGGGTGATGAGCACATGCCCACCCACAGCCCCTCGGTACAGATCAGTGGGTCTGCCTCACGACTGGGGTGGCTGTGGGCCCCTCCCCCGTAAGCCTGGGCGTCGCCGACACCCGTTCTCCATGTGCTCAAACCTCACCCAAAATCCGCACCAGTGTTATCTGCCTGACAAAGCCAGCCGGACGGCGGAGCAGAGACAGGTGACCGAGCCCCCCTGCAGCTCACGGATCCCTGGCCAGGACTGGACGCCAATTCCAGGGGGCAGAGCGGGTCCCAGGCAGGGCTCCGTGTCCTCAGATCACAGATAGGGAGGGAGCTGTGGTGCCAGGAGAACTCCCCTACAGCCTGCCACCCCGCTGTACCCCCCTCCCCGCCCCCCGCAGCTCTTCCCTCTCCTGGTCTCCCAACCCCAGGAGCTGCCAGCAGCTCACTCCCTGTCCCTCCCCAGAGAACACATCATCATAGGCACACAGGCACGCTGTCCAAAACCAGCCTAGGGGCTCCTGTCCCCCTGCCCGGCCCCTCCCACCCTCTCCCCACCTCCCATCCAAACCCTGTGCCTGCAGATCCTGGGAATGCGTGTCACCGTGGCTCACAGTGACTCTGTTCAGCATTTTCCGAAGCACACGGAATCTGACGCACTTTGTACGGGGCCCTGGCGGGGGGGAGGGGCCTGTGGGGCTCCTGCCCACCCTGACCCACACGGTTTTAAACCCACGTCCTCACTGGCATGGGTGTCTGGCGCTCCCCTCCTGAGGGCAGGGACAGTGCCTGCTGCTTCCACACATCCCCCGCCCGACATCAAACCCAGGATGCAGAAAACCCAGCTCGATTCTGCACTTTGCAGGAGTCGCCACCTCACGTGGCCCCGTGCCCTCAAGGCCTGTCTCAACTCAAAGGAATCCCATCTGCCTCGCTCTTCCCGACGTGTGTCATGTAGGGGGAACCACAGAGCCACCTGTGAGTGCGTGTGGGGTGGCCACTGGCCCCATCCGTGCATGCATGAGGCTGGCTGGCTCAGGAGGCCAGCGTGTGGCCTTGGGCATCGCTACTCAGGCCGGAAGGGAGACTTTATTCTTTGGATCCAGAGACTGGCCCGGGCACCAGGGCGCCCAGCCCCTCACTGCGGGCCGCCTGCACCGTGGTCCCGGGGTTTGCCGTGGAGGGTGAGGGACTCCATTAGAGGGAGGGAAGCGGGCCAGCCACACATCCTCGCAGGGAGCAGGGGCTCCTGGGAGCCCCGAGCACCTCTCACCACCTCCTTCACCCTGTCTCTCACAACCTCATAATGAGCTCTTTGCAGATCAGAGACCCCATCCTGCCAGCGGCCAGAACTGGGGAGATCTTCCGGGGAGCCTCCGGCTGACAAGCCTGTGACTTAAGCCATGGCCTCTTGCGGATACCAAGCCATGCAACCAAGCTGCATCCGCCTACTATGTGAGGCCAGCACCTGCACTCAGGCCCGCCTTCGGCACCCCCAGGCGCACAGGCCACGCCCTCTCCCAGACCCCAGGCCGCAGCTCTGGTGGCACAGTATCTCCTGTGCCGCTTTTAAAACTACAAAAGCTGAGGTCTGGGGACCCAGGCCTGAGTGACCTTTATTTATTTTTAATGTTTTATTGATTTCAGAGAGGAAGAGAGGAACATCCATCATGAGAGAGAATCATGGACCGGCTGCCTCCTGCACGCCCTGCACTGGGGATCAAGCCCACAACCCGGGCCTGTGCCCTGACTGAGAATCGAACGGTGGCCTCCTGGTTCATAGGTCGAGCGAGAGTGACCCCAGGCAGTTCTGCTCCCCACCAGAGTGGGGGATCGGAGGACGTGGAGAACCTGTGCCCCTTCAAGGAGAAGTGACGTGGAAAGGCCACTGGCTGCCTTCCCCGAGAGGCTACCACGGGCCGCCCAGGACCCGCGTGGGGATGCCCCGGCTCTGTACCCCGAGCCGCCTGAGCACAGAAGGGCCGAGTGTGGGACACGCAGGGCAGCCAGGCTCAGATTGCACCCTGCACAGCTCATGTCCGATCAGACCTGGGACGGAGGCCTTATTTGGAAACAGGGTCTTTGCAGATGTGATCAAGTTAAGATGAGGTCATGCTGGATGTGGGTGGGCCCTTAAAGGAAGGGGGAAATGTGGACACACACACCCCGGGAGGCCCGTGGAGACGAAGCAGGGAGGGCAGTGATGCGCCTACAGGCCCAGGCTCGCCAGGAGGCGGCGCCCCCGGGAGCGGAGAAGGCCTGTAACCAGTCCTCCCTTGGAGCCTCCGAAGGAGCCAGCCCTGCCCATCCTTGTTCCAGACCTAAACTTCGAGAATCCGTTCCTGCTGGTTTCAGCGTGTCGTCCCCCACCCCGCTCCCACCCCAGGAACCTAACACACGGGGCTCCGCCGTTCAACTCCGGCATCTGCAGGCCCCAGGCCTGGGTGCTGGGATGGGGTTAAGAGTT